CCTGGTAGTCCCGTGGTTTAGACTTAGAGCTTCCAGTATGGGGGATGTGGGTTTGATCCCTGTTTGGGAGACTAAGAACCCATATGCTGTGTGGTATGGCAAAATTTAAAAAAAAGGAGAGAGAGAGAGAGAAACTTGGATAGCAACAAGAAAAATAACAACAAGCTACCCTGAGCTGGTCCCAGTACGCGAATGGGCACGGGCAAATACAGCTCTGGATCTCTGACCCAGGTCAGCACTCGTGGCACTGACAAGGTGTGCAAAGTATGGACTGTTGGGTACTTATGTTATTTATTGAAAAATCAGCCAACCAATTAAATTTACTGTGCATGCTTCAGGTTCAGGACCCCATAAATGACTGCACTGGGGGAATTATAAGAACAATGTAAACGCAGAAATGGATGCCAGGGGTCAAGAAGTCCAAACATCCAATTATAAAATAAATAAGTCCTGAGGATGTATGGTACAGTGTGGTGACCATAGTGAATAAAACTGTATGGTAATATTTGGAATTTGCTAAGAGAGTAGATCTTAAAAGTTCTCATCACAAGAAAAAAAATGTGACTATGTGTGGAAATGGATGTTAACTAGATTTATTGTGACCAGTTAAAAAAGAAGTCAGTGTGATGTGAGAGGGCTGTCCTCAGGTGCTTATAAGATGACACCATTGGGACTCCTAAAATGACAAGCATTCTCTGTCATATGTAGAGTTTACTCATTATGTTTACTGTCTGTCACCACCTGCTAGAATGTAAGTTTATCAGGATACAGACATTCGTTTCATTAGTCCCAGTGTCTTAAACAATACTTGCCACAGAGTTAACTATCTTTTGAATAAGCGAATGCTTTGGTATGCTTCTCTAATAGTGCTCACTGATTTATGGTTGTAAAAATACACTTAGTATCACTTAAAATGTGTCTGGCACTGTTTTAGCCCTAAACATATATTAAGTTGTTTGATCAATCCTCTGATGGAGGTACTAGTATTCTCATCCTAATTTTACAGATGGGGAAACTGAGGCAAAGAGGAGGAAGTAACTTACCTAAGATCACCCAGCCAGTTAACTGTTGAGACAGTGATTCTAATCCAGGCATCTGCTTCCTGCCTTCACCTCTTCACACTCACCTTCTCAGGGTCTTGGGTCTAAGGTGTCCTCTCAGCATTACAGGTGCAGTTCTGTGGCTGTGAAATGGAGCTCAGTGAACTGATCAAGTCCTTTCTGATTCTTCCTACCAGGAGGTTGCCCTTAAAGCTTATTTCAGCCCAACTAAATTATTAGATCTCTCAGTGTTGAGCTTTTATTATGAGCCTGACATAATATTAGTTTCATCTTGTAGATTAAAATGATAAGAAAAAAATGAAGCAACTTCCTGTAACTTTTAGAAAGTGGATTCACATGTGAAAAGGACAGAAAGAAAGGTTATGGAAATTCAGAGGATGGTGCTGTTGTTGCTATATGTTGAGTGGAGGGACAAGGGAAAATCAGGTGGAAAGGCATTCTGGGCAGGGGGAACAGCATAAGCAAAAATGAGGAGGGCCATCTAAGAAGACCTCTTTTAGTTGCTCCTCGGGATCCTCCATAGCCAGAACTCTTTCTCTAGTGGGCCAGCAGCTCGCCACCGAGTCTGCTGTGTCTGTGCGTTGAGCAACCTCAGGATGAAACTCAGCACATCGCCTGAGACACCCTTAGCTGTCGCCTCCACTTCTATCTCCGGCCTGCTGAGGAATACTCTGAGCCTCGGTTTCTTCATCTACAAAATAGAAACTAAGAGGTCCTACCTCAACTGCTGGTGGGAAGAATCAAGAGTGGTCACATGTATGAAGTTTCTAGCTTCACCTGACACCATGACTGCCCACTAACCTTTTAAAAGTTTTTTTAATTGGAAGATAATTGCTTTACAACCAACACAAGTTGGTTTCTGCTGTACAAAAATGTGAATCAGCTATAAATATATGTATATGTATATATCTCCTACCTCTTGAGCATCCTCTCCCCATCCCATCTGTCTTGGTCATCACAGAGAGCTGGGCTCGGCTCCTTGCGCTATATAGTGCTTCCCTGGTAGCTCCCATGGTATGGACTCTGCCTGCAGTGCTGGAGACCTGGGTTTGATCCCTGGGTTGGGAAGATGCCCTGGAGAAGGAAATGGCTACCCACTCCAGTACTCTTGCCTGGAGAAGTCCATGGACAGAGGAGCCTGGCGGGCTACAGTCCGTGGAGTCACAAAGAGTTGGACACGACTGAGTGACTAGCAAGCACACACACGTCTTGAGTCTCCTCGCCCCACCCCATGTGTCTAGGTTGTCACAGAGCACTGGGCTGGGCTCCCTGTGTTACCCAGCAGCTTCCCACTACCTGTGCATTTTACACAAGGTGGTGCATATGTGTCAATGCCACCTCTCAGGTCATCCTGCCCTTTTCTCTCCCCCATGGACTGTGTCCATGAGTCCATTCTCTACGTAGGTCTCTCTATTCTAGGCCTGCAAATAGGTTCATCCGTACCATTTTTCTAGATGCCATATATGTGCTAATATATGATATTTTTTCTCTTTTTTCTCTTTCTGACTTATTTCACTCCGTATAAAAGGTTCTAGGTTCATCCACCTCAGTTCAATTGACTCATATTCGAGTCAATTGTTCCTTTTTATGGCTGAGTAATATTCCATTGTATGAATGTACCACGACTGCTGTTGTCCACGCTTGCTGTCTGACTACTGATAGGTGATAATAGTTGTTATTCAGTCGCCCAGTCTTGTTTGACTCTTTGCAATGCTATAGACTGTAGCACACCAGGCTTCCCTGTCCCTCACCATCTCCCAAAGTTTGCCCAAGGTCAACAATCCCCTATAATTTTCCAAGTTCTTTTAGTTAAATTTTTAATCCCAATTTACAGCTGAGGCAACTGAAGCTTCAGGAGGATAAGTGATTTGTTGTATGATTCTACTTATTTAAGTGTCAAACTTATTTAAGTGTCAGGAGGAACCAATTGAGAGGGTTAGAACGGAAGAATGAGTAACCTTTGGGAGGAAGGGGTGGGGAATGACTGGGAGGAAGCACCAGGGTAAACTACTTGCTGGTAATAATCAACTTCTTGACTGTGTTCACTTTGTGATAATTCATCTATCTCTACTCTTATGATTCATGTTTATTTTCTGTTTGTTATACTGATATAAGTATTGTTAAAATGCCTCAAAAAAATCCCCTGCACTTCTGTGGGGCTCAGGAATTCAAATCCTTCCATGTACTTGAATGCCTTGAAACCTCACAACTGCTCTCCTGAACTGGCCTGGGAAAAATTGTCTTGTCCTTTCCTTTCCCAACAGATACTTTAATTCTGATGAGTTTCCTCCAGCTGTAATGAACAGTTAGGACAATCTCTGAGAGAGAAGCAAGTCTGGACGTCGTGGCTGAGGGCACCAGTAGGAGAAGGCTGGGTAGGATGTACATGTGAGTGTCATTCCCAGGATCAGCCGGAAGGACCCCTTCTTGCCACACCTACCCCTCCCCAAGGCACAGCCCTCCTATCACAGTCCTGGGGCTGGGGTGACTGTTTGGAACCACTGGCTCTAGAATAGGGGTCTACAGACTAACACAGACACGGGCGACAGAAGATTGGAATGCCCACATCCAAGGCAATCACTTCTCAGGGAGATTCTGAAATCATTTTCCATGAGAAGCAAGTTACAAAGTATTTTTCAAAATCATACTCTGGAGTATATTTGCATAAATGAATGTACTGTATTTTTTTTAATAAACCATGAAAGCTTTAATTACCTAAACTCTAATTAAGCTTGTCTCTTGCAGAAAACACAGGATATTAGCTTATTTTGTACTTGACTAGACTTTTTTTTTTGTTTTCATATGTTGGGTGATCTTCTATGTAAGTCTCTGTTAAACTCAGTGGAAACACTTCAGGAGTGTTTTCAAGCCAATTAATATTTTATTGAGCACCTGGTAAGTGCCAGCATGGTTTAGCAGTTAAGAGCAGAGATCCTGAGAGTAGGGCTACCTGGGTCCATTCCAGAGTTAAGCTCTGGCTCTTACTAGCTGTGTGACCCTGGGCAAGTTATTCAATAGTCTCTGGCCTCACTTTCCTCAACTGTAAAAGAGGAATTATAATGGTGCCAATCTCATCAGGTTGTAACAAGAATTAATGAGACAATGTAGGTAAAGAGCTTAGAATGGGGCCTGCACACAGTAAATAGCTTATACTGTGTGCATGCATGTGCTTAGTCATTCAGTCGTGGACGACTCTTGGGACCCCACGGACTGTAGCCTACCCAGCTCCTCTGTCCATGGGATTTTCCAGGTAAGAATACTGGAGTGGGTTGCCATTTTCTCCTCAGGGCATCTTCCTGACCCAGGGATCAAACCCAGGTCTCCTGTGTCTCCTGCATTGCAGATGGATTCTTTACCCGCTGAGGCATCAGGGAAGCCCCAGTATATAATACCCAGCTCTTATTATGTGGGGGGCACTGGCCAGGAAGTTTGGAGAGCTGCACTAGCCAGTGTCCCTGAATTCTTAGAGCTGGAGGTCAGTGGAGAAGCCAGACAGCTTGCAGTTAATCAGCAATCAGGGTGATGCCTGGTATAAAAGGACGGGCAAGCTGTTCTGGGAGTTTGCATAGGCTGTTATAACTCTATATGCTTTATCAGAGTTCCTGTAGCTCTGTAGATACTTTGGATGTTTTCATTTTCCTGTTTTATAAACATAGACTGATTTGTTTAGCGTTATAGGTCCTCAGGGATTAAAGGAGCTTTCAAAGGTCACGCGTCCCTTTCAGTGACCCAGAAGAATCCTTCCTTCAAGTGGCAGCATGACCACATCTGCTTCCTTCTCCCGTTCCATTACTATGCCAGGAGCTGCTGTCTCCATGTTCATGGACTCAGCCTGGCTGGCCTGCTTTCAGGACCTCCCTACACAAGGACTCAGAGCCTGTCTGGGCAGGTGTGCTCAGCACATGTCTTTAGGAATGGAGGCACTCTCTGCGTCCGCTCATGGCCCATTACATCTTGATTCTCGGACTCAGGTATGGCTCCTTGCAGTTTTCTGTGCCTGTGATGGTTGGCAGCGCTGCCTGTGGGCACCAGGGCTGCTGTGAGCAACAGGACCAGGATGGACAGAAAGCAGGGCCAGGACCGGGGGTTCCCTCCGGTGCTTCTCGTCTGTGGACCACCTGCAGCAGACTCACCCAGGGTAACTGTTTAAAATGAAGACTCCGTGGTGGACTCTTTCTCAGCCGTAAAAAAGAAAGAAACGATGAAACATGGGTGGGCCTAGAGATGATCATACTCAGTAAGTCAGGCAAAGACAGATAGTCAGACAAAGACAGATGTCATATGATATCACTTACATGTGGAATCTTAAGAAAAATGATACAAATGAACTTATTTACAAAACAGAAACAGACTCACAGACATAGAAAACTTGTACTTCCCAAAGGGAGAGTAAGTGAAAATGTTAGCTACTCAGGTGTGTACGATTCTTTGCAACCCCATGGATTATAGTCCGCCAGGCAACTCTGTCCACAAAATTCTCCAGGCAAGAATACTGGAGTGAGTAGCCATTCCCTTCTCCAGGGGATCTTCCTGACCCCAGGGTTGAACCTGGGTCACCCACATTGCAGGCAGATTCTTTACCATCTACTACCTGGGGCCACCAGGGAAGCCCCAAAGGGGAGAGAGGGAGAGGGATAAATTAGGAGTTTGTGATTAACACATACACACTACTATATATAAAATGGATAAACAACACAGGGAGCTGTCGTCAGTATTCTGTAAAAATCTGTGCTTCAATACAGCTTCATTTCCAAAATAGGCAGTGGCTGGATTTGGCCCATAGGCCACAGTTGCCAATACCTGATTTTTGTAGTGATTTTCCTACAATAATCTGCTGTTGAACCCATTGTTTTAGCCAAAATGTTGCTCTCATCAGCTGGGGGTACAGACATTCGTGAAAGATGAAGGGTGGAGAGTGGATCTCACAAGATGATTTGGTGACCCCAGGGTTGACCCTCATGGCTGATAGCCTAGTGGAGTGGCCCATCCATTCTGCATCACTCACTGTGAGTCCCTCTGTAAATCACAGGTCAAAGAGATGACCAAGGGACACCCAACTGGGGGAGAGAGAATCGTGGCTGCTACAACTAAAACCTGAGGGTAAGTGGGCACATTGGATTCACTGAGCACCATAAATATCTGTTGCCATATTCCTGAACTCTTTGATACCCAGAGAATAAATTATTAACAGATATTTGGGGTAGGGTTTAGAGAAAGCCTCTTTAATTTTCTTAGCCTCCCCAAATTTTACATTTGTATCTGGCTTCACCTTTGCTAGAGTAGAACCAGTATTGAGACAGTACGCATGACATAATCTTACATCAAACCTTTGTGTTTATCATAAAAAATATGGCAACATCATTGTGGTCATAAACAGAGTTACCAAGGAAACCAGTTTATCACAATTAGCTATTTATTCCCTCTTTTTTTCTCACACTCTCTCTTCCTTCCACCTGAGCTTTCTTTCTGCTGAAAGGTATGATAAGCTGTTATCAGCCCGGGCTCAGTGGCTAATTAGGTTCTAATACTGATTCATAGAATTACATTGCTTTTTTCCATAACTATGCTGTAGTGCATTGTCTGTGCTTTTTACAAATTGACACAATGATGGAACAATTGGTTTATTATATGTGTTTTAAATAGTCATAATAGCTTTCTCCAGGGCAGTGGTATATCAAAACCCAACAGATAGAAGGTAAAAACTTCTCATCTATAGAAGATTTGTGGCTCTTTCTTCTGCATTAGGAAGTGGTTATGAAAGGAATTGCTTCCTGGATGGAGTTCCTGGTCCTGCAGGGTTTTTCTTATTTTTATTGCCCATTACAATGGAGAACATTAGCTAGTATTCATGCTCCACGCTGATGATCTAGAGCTGGGGTCGGGCAACTTTTTCTGTAAAGAACCACACAATAAATGTCTTAGGTTTTGCAAGTCATGTGGCTTCTGTTGCAACTATAGAACTATCCCTTTGTAGCAGGAAAATAGCCTTAAATGACATACAATGAGAGAAAACCTCTCTAGAAATATTACCTACATCTCATTGGAGAGAGAAGTTTCACATTGCCTGCTTTACCCAGTCATGGAGGAGGGAAAAAGGCAAGGCTGCACTCCAATAAAACTTTATTTAGGGACTTCCCTGACGGTCCAGTGGCTAAGAGCCTTCTAATGCAGTAACTGTGGGTTCAATCCCTGGCTGGGGAGCTAAGCTCCGCTATGCCTTGGGGCCATAAAACAGAATCAATACTGTGACAACGTCAATGAATATTTTAAAAACGGTCCCCACTAAAAAAAATCTTTAAACAAAATAGCAAAAAACTTTATTTACATCAACAGGTGGCAGGGGTCATAGTTGGCCAACATCTGTCTAAAGCCTCGTCCAAATGTACGCAAGGGGACGACCTTGCGTTTGGGCCTCTTAGAGTGGGGACAACGCCTGTAGAAGGGTGGACGACCCACAGAGGGACTGATGGGCTCCCATGCAGTTGTCCTGTGTGTGGCAGGCGTGTTCCCACTGGTCAGGCTCTCATCCAGAGGGGAGGTTTCTTAAGGTGATTCCCCCACGGAGGGCTGGACTAGGGATCTAGTGACTTGGGATTGATCCTGGCTTGGGTGCTTAAGTGGTTAACAGTGTTTCACCTGTAATCCACTCTGCCTACTCCAAAGAGCTTGAGAGTCAATGGAGATAACGAATGGAAGAGGACTTTGTGAAGCGTAAATGAGGAAACCGTATAAGACGTAAGGTGTGGCTGTTAAGATATTGCCGTAGAGTAAACATCACAGAGTTGCGAGATGGGAATGTCTCCTCCTTTAGGACTTAGTCCGACTATCATCTGGGCCTTGAGCCCACCCCACACTAACCTTCCTGGAAGCTGTCCTGTCTGAGTTTTAATCCCCCCCCCTCCAGTGCTCAAGTTCATAACCTTCCAAGATAGCCTGCTTCATCTGGAGACTTTTCTGATTGTCAGATATTTCCTGCTGATACTGAGCACAAATCTGCCTTTTCTAAACCTTTCACCCATTGATCCTGCTTCTGTGACTTAGTATTTTCTATAACAAGATTAATCTCTCTCTTCACTTGATGGCTCTTTGGATATTTGAAGATAGAGGTCATGGTCTCCAAGTCTTATCCTCACAAGGTTCTCATCAGCAGTTCCTTTGACTATTTCTATATGACATGATTTTGAATCTTTTCACTGTCCAGGTTGCTCCCTGGTTGCACAAATTTCAGTTCTTCAACATCCCTCCTCAGTGGTATATTCACACTTGGACACAATATTCCATGCATGTTCTGACTACTGCAGAGCAGAATCACCATCTCCTTTGTTCTAGATGTAATGCTTCTGTTGATGCAGCCTAAAGTCACATGTGATCACATAACACGGTTGGATTTTCTTGAGTTGAAATTGGCTAAGACCTTTAAGTTTTTTGTCAATATTCCTAAGTCATGGCTACCTCATCCTGAATAGTGTCAAGTAAGGTTTTTCTTAAGGGATTTCTCCCAGCCATATTTTTCTGGCTCACTTTTACTCAAAGGCCTTTTGAATTGTAATTAGATCTTTTTTTCAATTTGGGTAGTCTGTTTCAATGGGATGTTGATTGTGATGTAAAATCAATGTTTTCACATAGCCTACCATGAGTTCTGTTATAGTCAAAAGTACAGTCTCTAAGTGCTACTCAATTATTGTTGTTGTTCAGTTGCTAAGTCACATCCGACTCTTTGCAACTCTGTGGACTCTAGCCTGCCAGGCTCCTCTGTCCATGGTGTTTTCCAGGCAAGAATACTGGAGTGGGTTGCCATTTCTGTCTCCAAGGGATCTTCCTGACCCAGGGATTGAACATGCATCTTCCATGTCTCCTGCGTTAGCAGGCTAATTCTTTACCACTGAGCCACCAGGGAAGCCCCAGTTCTGACTGGTCTGCAAAACAGATGAAAATAAAAGCATTGCATTGAGGAGGTCTATGCTGAACTAAACACAGGATAGTTGATTTGTGGTTTGCAGACAGGCAGCAATCCTTAGACCTCACTTTGACTGGTTTGGCTCTATATGACACTCTAAGGTCTTGACTGGAATCCTAGAAACTGATTTAAGGAGAGTAGATGAGAAGAACAAAATCCTCAGAAAGACTAAAAAGGATCATGGTGATTAGATGAAAATTAGCCTTGAGATTCAGTCTAAGTTAGGGACCTAATGAAAAATCTCTTCAATCTGTATTTCCATGATTATTCAACACACATTTGTTGACTTCTTAGTTTGTAAGAGGTGCTCTGCCAGGCACTGGGGGGGCTACAGACTTAAATAAGATATGTGCTGAGTCACTGTTGCGGAGCCTTAAATACAAACACGTGACTAACAGTGGCTGCTAGGGGCCTCCTCCAATAACATTCTCCTTCCACCTCGGTAACAGGGTCCTCATTTTACTCTTGGCAGCAATGTGCTCAGTCACTAGGTCGTGTCCAACTCTTTGTGACCCTTTGGACTGTAGACTGTTACGTTCCTCTCTCCCTGGGATTTCCCAGGTGAGAATACTGGAGTGGGTTGCCATTTCCTCTGCAGAAAAGTCTTCTTCACCCAGGGAGCAAACCTGCGTCTCCCACCTGCGTCTCCTGCATTGGCAGGTGGATTCTTTAAGACTTGAGCCACCTGGGGAGTCTTGGTGGCAATGGCCTTCAGTAAAAGATGACATGTCCCAGCACCTCTTGCAATTAGACTTGATCATGTGGATTTCAGCAATCTTCTGCTCTCTTCAGGGAACGTTAATGATGAAAATTTTATGCTACAGGGACGTTGGAGCAGAATAATAGAAGGAGCCTGGCTCTCTGATGATTCTGTGATGCCTCAGCCCTGCCTAACTGTGGAATCCTTTTCAAGAGAATAAATCCTTGTGTTCTAGCTTCTGTCCTATGCAGCTGAACTGCATCCAAAGTGATGGAGAATTTGATACTTGGTGTTTGCTCCAAGAAACAGAATTGAAAGTGTGATATTGACTGAGTGGAGGAGGTGGGAAGCCAAATATTTAGGACTCAGATGTTGCAGAGTGGAAAGCTAGGGACCCTAGTTATGCATTGGTAGAGCATTTGATTGAGTTGTTGCCATTGGTAACTGGGAAAGAAAATCGCAAGTTGACTGAAGCTCTTGC